GACCTGACTAATCAATCACAGCAGTCTGCATGCTAGCACCTAACTAGGAGGGTGTTACATAGTTAACAGAATAAAATCCTCAATTTGGATATGTCTGAAGAAGGACACAGTGTCTGAAAGTTATTAAGCTGATGTCTTGTGTGGTGCTTAATATAGGTTTTTGTTTTTAAAAAACTGTCTTAGGGGTCTATTTATAAAACATTTGTTACATGAATATCAGAAACATATGGGCAGCACAGTGGAAAAATGGTTAGCACTTCCTCCTGGCAGTACTAGGGTTGCTGGTTCGGATCCCAACCACAGCACCACCTGCCTGGAGTTTACATGTTCTCCCTGTGTCTGCGTGGGTTTCCTCCGGTTTCCTCCCACACGCCAAAGACATGCTGGTAGGTTGACTGGCACCTGTCTAAATTGGCCCTAGTATGTTTATGTATGAATGTAATTTAGAGACCGTAGATTGTACACCCCTTGAGGGTTAGGGACTAATGTGAATGTACAATATATATGTAAAGTGCTGCGTAAATTGATAGCGCTATAAAAGTACCTGAAATAAATAAAATAAATAAATCATTTATGCAAGCTGAACAAAATGTCACCATAATTGATGTAACTAAGATCATCATCTGTATTATCAGCTTCATCTGGTGGCCAAAGTGCAGTATAGTTTTCTTATTTTGTTATTTCAGAACACTATACCACATATTTCTCCACTGACTATACAGACATTAACCACTTGTTACCTGCCCACAGCACATTTACTGCAGGTAGGCTGCAGCTCCAGCCTAAGCAATGTACTGGTACATGCGCACTGATGACCACCATAATAGTAAGCAAGCTGTCATGAATGAATGCCATTCATGACAGTTAAAACTATTGCTTATAACAGTGACCATCACTGTTATAAGCATTAACAGTGTAAAAAAATTAAAAAAAAACACCCCTCAGAGTAGTACAGTGTCTTTATGGTGACACTGAACTACTCCAATGACAGGTTGTAAAAAAGAAAGAAAAAGGAAAAAATATATATATATCTGTGTGTGTGTGTGTTTTTTGTTATAACTTATTTTTTTACACAGTGTCACCAGTCAGTATTCCTGATCACCACCACACCAGTCATATAGTCCTATGATAATGCTGTACTGCACTGGTGACAATACATATAAAAAAAATAGTTGTGAAACTTACAACTCACGGTGCCTGTTACTAAATACCTTGGGTTGTCTACTTTCCAAAAAGGGTTATTTTGGGGGTATTTGTCCTGGCATTTTAGGGCCTCAAGAAATTAGAAATTAGATTGGCCATCATTATTTCAGGATTGATTGATTTTCAAATACATACATATATATACATATATATACACACAATTAGATATATACACATATATATATATATATATATATATATATATATACACACACACACACACACACACACACACACACATATACATATATATATATACACACACATATATACACATATACACACCATAGATTGTAGACTCTTTAACGTCACACAGACTAAATAATAAACAATGATTTGTGTTGTTTTGACCAAAGAAATGTGGCAGAATACATTTTGGCCTAAATTTATGAAGAAAGATTATTTCTATGCAAAATTTTAGAACAGAAATAAGAAAACACTTTTTTTTTTATTTGTAGTATTTTTTTTTGTTTATATAGTAAACAAAACAAAAATAAACCAGTGGTGATAAAATACCACCAAAATAAAGCTCCATTTGTGTGAAAAAATGATATACATTTCATTTGGGTGCAGTGTTGTATGACTGAGCAATTGCCAAGTAAAGTAGCACAGTGATAAATAGTAAAAAGATGCTCTGCTCATGAAGGGGGTAAAACCTTCCAAAGGTCAAGTGGTTAAGTTCTTACAAAAATTACATTTTGTGACAAGTGACATTTCGTTCAGCTTGCAGGAATGATTCTGGCATTCGTGCTGCAAATGATTTATAACTAGACCCCTATAAGTTACCTCCCAGTTTATGCCATCATCATTGGGCTCTGTGTAAGTGGGTTTGGCCTTGGAAACAGTGCAGTCTGGCAGTGCTGCCACTATGGGGACTTCAACTAGAGACATAAGGCTACGATATGTTGGAGTGCAAGCGTTATTATTTTTGATTGTAAACTCCCACACATGGAGAAGGGTATTGTTTTTTACTTTAAGTTTAGTCTATCTTCACCTCCCTGGAGTAGGAATGCTTGAGAAAACCTTTTGATGTCACCGCCTCTGAAATATTGTGCTGTGAGCCCAAGGCGACATAGTGATGCACTCAGGGAGTCAGAGGAAGAGGGTTAAATGAAGCTGGCCGACATGAAGGTGAGTATTGCAGCTTTTTTTTATTTTAAAAATGGCTGGGGAAATGTTTAAAAAAGAACTGGAGATCTGCTTTAGCCATCATCTAAAAGGATCATTTACCACCTGACCCCTAAAATAAGCCTTTAGCACTTAATCTTCCTTCCCTATTCTCAAAGCTGACCATAGACTTATAGATTTTTTTTTTTTTGTTCAGCCTGAATTAAAGAAAAAAAATCTGATGGATTCCTCCATCCAGGCTAACAGCAAGAATAGATGAATCTCTATTACATTCATGAAAACCTGCGCCTCTGGCTCTCAGAATTCCTAAACAGTGACAGCATTTGATTGGTGTTCAGCCAAGAATCTTTGACCCGGCTTCTTTGACAAAAGTCGATTTGTTTAATCAACATTTGTGGAGCCTGGTGGTGCTGATAGGGGTACCCACAGCTCAAATTTCAGTTGATTCAACATGAATTGGCCAAAACGTGAGCCATGTATGGCAGACTTAATATTTAACTTAACCTCTAAAGTGTGCCTAATAATAATAACCTAACCCCCTAAAATGTGTCTAATGCTACCCTAACCCATAAAGTGTGCCTAATAATAGCCTAACCCCCTAAAATGTGTCTAATGCTACCCTAACCCATAATGTGTGCCTAATAATAACCTAACCCCCTAAAAAGTTGTCTAATGCTACCATAACCCATAAAGTGAGCCTAATAAGTGCCTAATAATAGCCTAAACCCCCCAAAAATGTGTCTAATGCTACCCTAACCCATAAAGTATGCCTAATAATAATAACCTAACCCCCCTAAAATGTGTCTAATGCTACCCTAACCCATAAAGTGTGCCTAATAATAATCTAACCCCCTAAAATGTGTCTAATGCTACCCTAACCCATAAAGTATGCCTAATAATAATCTAACCCCCTAAAATGTGTCTAATGCTACCCTAACCCATAAAGTATGCCTAATAATAATCTAACCCCCTAAAATGTGTCTAATGCTACCCTAACCCATAAAGTGTGTCTAACACTAACCTTAAAGTGAGCCTAATGCTTCTAATGCTCTAACCCATAAAGTGTGCCTAACACTAACCTATCCTCTATACTAAATACCACGGCCACATTCACATCATGCTTTTTTTGTGTGTTTTTCATGCATTTCCATGCATCAGGCATAGGGCAACCCATTCCCTTAATGGGCTGCCCTATGTATGACAAACGCTCAAAGAACCTTTTCAGGCGTGGGTGTGGCCCTTTTTTTCAGCACGTGTTTTGGCAAGTTAGTAGCACATTTGCTGCATGGCAAAATGTGTGGTTAAACACACATCTGCTAACCACACTTGCGGTACCATTAACAATTAATGTCACCACAAGTCCAATGAGCATTTGCAGTGCTTTTGTAGCAAGTTTCCAAAATGCGTGGCAAAACGTGCATTTTCTGTGCACTTTGTCGCGCATGGAGTGTGAATGGAGCCTGAGATTTGATGCCCGTTTAATCTGATCAGTAGCAGTTCTTGTGGTATGAATTTAGCAGTTCAATATCAAATATTTACTTGATGCTGCAGTTGCTCTTTGGGAATATTTTGAAACCTGTAATATACCCTGATTCTAAGAACAGAGGCTTCACAAAATCATGTGGGGACCCGGTGAACATTAATGACTTCTAGTAAGGACCGAACTTCAGAGTGAACCATCCACTACATGTAGGAACTCAAGATGACCTAGCATCAGATGCACACAGTATATTAACTATCTTTGCTCAGACCTCATTCAAGGTTAGCATCTGCTTCTTGATTTGGAAACCAATAATTACATCATTTAAATGCTGTTGTCTGCACAATTCCCTGTATGTTAGCGATGTGTAGGACAGCCTTTTTCAACCAGGGTGCCCAGGCACCATGGGGTTCCTTCAGGTTTCTTCAGGGGTGACTTGACAAAGTGCCCAAAAATTGTATACAAGCCAGTGGGTGGATCAAGCCTGACTTTTAGTTACACAAAGCTACAGGTTTTCATTGTGTAACATTACAACCTTCTAGCTGGAGTCCTATCAATCAACTACATAGTCACATTTGATATGGAGGATGTCGGGGGCTAACACAGAATCCATATATAACCTCCCTGCCCATCGTCGTTGGCACCGAGTCACATTAGCAGAGTGAGGGAGAGAAATTGAGGGAGATTGGAAAACTAGTCAGTCTTGGAGTGCAAAGGTGTATTTGCTTTGGAAGAATAAATCACCTTTAATGTTGGTGTGTCCTACATGTGTGGATGTTGCTGCATTATGTAAATCTACAGTACCTTCAAAATGTATTCATACCCCTTTGAATTTTCCACATTTCGTCACAACCAAAAACGTAAATGTATTTTATTGGGATTTTATGTGATAGACCAACACAAAGTGGCACATAATTGTGAAGTGGAAGGAAAATGATAAACAGTTTTCAAATTTTTTTTCCAAATAAATAGCTGCAAAGTGTGGCATGCATTTGTATTCAGCCCCCCAGAGTGTGAAATTTTTGCCCGTTCTTCTTTGTGAAATAGCTCAAGCTCTGTCAGATTGGATGGAGAGCAATTTTCAAGTCTTGCCACGGATTCTCATTTGGATTTAGGTCTGTACTTTGACTGGGCCATTCTAACACTGTCAGGGATGCGGGTATGACCAGATGTGGGCTCCGAGTCATCTGGCAAGACAGCGAGCTCCGAGTCATCTGGCAAGACAGCGAGCTCCGAGTCATCTGGCAAGACAGCGAGCTCCGAGTCATCTGGCAAGGCAGCGGGCACTGAGTCATCTGGCAAGGCAGCGGGCACCGAGTCATCTGGCAAGGCAGCGGGCACCGAGTCATCTGGCAAGGCAGCGGGCACCGAGTCATCTGGCAAGGCAGCGGGCACCGAGTCATCTGGCAAGGCAGCGGGCACCGAGTCATCTGGCAAGACTGCGGGCACCGAGTCATCTGGCAAGACTGCAGGCACCGGGTCGTCAAGTTTGACAGCGGGCAACGAGTCATCTGGCAAGACAGCGGGCACCGAGTCATCTGGCAAGACAGCGGGCACCGAGTCATCTGGCACGACAGCGGGTACCGGGTCATCTGGTTCGACAGTGGGCACCGGGTCATCAGGCATTGGATCGTCTGGCTCGACAGCGGGCATGGGGGTCACCAGGCATCAGGTCATCTGGCTCGACAGCGGGCACAGAGTCACCTGGCATAATAGGATCATCAGGCTGGATCAGTTCATCAGGCTGGGTAGAGACATCAGGCTGGGTAGAGACATCAGGCTGAATTGTGGGCACCAGGCTGCACCATGGAAGGCGGGTTCTCAGGTGGCAGGCTGACCCATTTGGATACTGGCAGGATGGTATTGGTTGGAAAGAATTTTTGCCTTTTCCTGGTTTTAATTACCGGAGCACTCTAAGTAAGCGCAGGTTTGTAAATGGATGGAGCAGCTGAAGACAGAGAAGATCTGGAGGATGGAACGGAGGAGGGAGCAGTTGCTACAGAGGACTTCTTTACAGGGTTAAAAGCAGGATAGGTGCAGTGAGTGAGAGCAGAGGACTGATATGTGGTAGTTAGCTGAGTATACTGGGCCGTCACTGGGGGTGCTGTCGGGGATGCAGGAAGAGTGCCTTGAGCAGAGGAATGACGTAAGCTGACTGAGGCTGGCTGCAACAAGTCTGACCATGTCTGCAGTATGGGTTGAACAAAGCTCAGCTTACACAAAGCCTGTCTGGTCAAGGACTGCACTGCGTTTATACAATCCCTTAATACCTGTTGTGAGCATGCAGCATAATGCTCCAAGAAGCACTCCACATCATCCTCTAATAACCATACCAGGGACTGTGCCTGGTCTGCACTAAATGGTGGCAAAAAGTCATTCCTGCTTTCAGGGGTACCAGATGAAGCCAACTCTGCACAAACCTGAATCAAACGTTGCACTTCAGAGAACTCTGTGCCCTGATCTACTAGAACATGAGCGACCCATATACATTTTAGCAGTTGATCCCGGGTATACTCCTTCAGAGTCTGATAAGCATAATCTCTGTCATCAAAGACCAGCAGCGACAAATACACAACCTCATCAAGATGCATCCTTCCCAGCAACAAGCCAAGATGGCTTCCCTGTGCAGCCACTTCTGGTCGGGAAGGCCTTGTTGTAATGTCAGGGATGCGGGTATGACCAGAAGTGTGTGGACTGACACAGGGAACACAGGCTTCAGGTATAGTAAATAATATAATTTATTAAGACTAACAATACAAACGCAGTGCAAAACTAAACATAAACACAGTGCAAACAAACTAAACCAAACCTCCAACAGATAACAAACATACAATACAAGAGTAGTCAGGCAGGCCGGGTCGGTAGCAAACGGGCAAACGGAGTACCAGGAGCAGGTGGGAGAGTGGTCAGGACTAGCCGAGGTCAGTACAGGCAGAGTTCAAGCAGAGTCAGGACAGAAGTAACAGGGATCAGGAAACCAGGGCCAAGCAAACAGTACAACAAGGCCCTGACTGCAGGTCTGGCCATCCCTTAAATACACCACCTGCAATCAGCCCCAGGTGATCGCTAATTGCCGGAGTAAGCCTCTGGTTGTTGAGAGCACCCGCTGGCCAGCCCTGGTACTGCAGCCCATAAGGCAGGTGAGTCCCACCACTATTGGTAAGTCCATTCCTTACAAACACATGTATATGCTTTGATCTAAACCATTCCATTGTAGCTCTGGCTGTACTTTTAGGGTCATTGTCCTGCTGGAAGGTGAACCTCAGCCCCGGTCTCAAGTCTTTTGCAGATTCTAACAGGTTTTCTTCTAAGATTGCCCTGTATTTGGCTCCATCCATATTCTCATTAACTTTGACCAGCTTCCCTGTTCCTGTTGAAGAAAAGCATCCCCACAACATGATGCTGCCACCACCATGCTTTACGGCGGGAATGGTGTGTTCAGGGTGATGTGCATGTTCATTTTCTGCCACACAGTGTTTTGTTTTCAGGCCAAAAAGTAAAATTTTGGTCTCATCTGAACAGAGCACCTTCTTTCACATGTTTGCTGTGTCCCCCACATGGCTTCTTGCAAACTGCAAACGGGACTTCTTATGGCTTTCTTTTTAACAATGGCTTTCTCCTTGCCACTCTTCCACATAGGCCAGATTTGTGGCATAGATGACTAACAGTTGTCCTGTAGACTGATTCTCCCACCTGATCTGTGGATCTCTGCAGCTCCTTCAGAGTTCCCATGGACCACTTGGTTGCTTCTCTAATTAATGTTCTCCTTGCCCAGCGTGTCAGTTTAGGTGGACGTCCATGTCTTGGTAGGTTTGCAATTGTGCCATAGTCTTTACATTTTCAGATGATGGATTGAACAGTGCTCTGTGAGATGTTCAAAGCTTGGGATATTTATATATCGTAAGGAAAAATAGAGTATCTGGTTGCTCGTCCCCAACATTAATACAAACAAAAATGACCCCCTATGGGACTGCAGCAAACATATCATCACACATGTACTCATAAGGAACTCTTTCTAGTCATACATTTTATTGTACAAAAACATTGATAAAAGATACATTACATTTAAAAACACACTGGCTCGGATAACTATTCCAGGGATGTACTCCCTTTGAGATGCAATAATATAACATTCCCAAAATAAATCTGACGTGGTTTGATCATTCCACTTTTTGATCTTCTTCAGGGGGCATGACTACAAAAGGGATGTTGATCAGAGTGGTCATAAAAATACTGACATCCAAAAATGAGACTGAATAGTCCAAAATTCAATGGTGTAAACCATTGGAAGGGCAAGAGTGTTCAAATATCCATCTTGTGGTACTAACTGCAGAGGAAGAAAGCCAAATCACCTTCCAAATACTTCTATAATCATCATAAGAAATATGGTACAAATTAGAAGAGCTTTTGCAGTGATCAGATCTACCTGTGCTGTCAATGAGAAATGATGCAGCTGTTGCCGCCAATGGCGCCAAAAATGGCGCCTGTACATGGCCACCCCAGCATTCGTGAAGAAGATCTCCCCCGGTGTCTGCCGCCATCCCCATTGGCAGCAACGGCCACATCATCTCTCACTGATGGCACAGGTGGATCTGATCACTTCCTAAGGAGATAATTGCATCACACCTAGACAGATATATATTTGGACACATTATTGCTGTTTGTTGTTGGCTTTCTTTGTTGGAGGTGGTCTCTCATGCTACATTGGACAGTTTGGTAAGCATAGATGGCTTGTCATTTTCCACCTTTGATGGCTATTGGATGCTAGTAAATAGCAGATTGGTTGCTAATTTCTTTATGCGTATACAGTTTGTACTATTAGGTGAAAGTGTGGTAAGAGTTTATGTAGAACAACCGTGCAGGGGTTCGGGTTTTTCCTCCCCCCCCCTTTTTTTTTTTTAGACGGTGGTATGTATTTATAGAAATCATAGTTAGTCACCTTATTGGGAGATTTGTATACTGCTGTATGTGGTTGTGACAGTATTCTTACAGCCCGATTTTTATTATAGATAAGGCAGCTGGGCATAGCCATAAGCCCATTGGAATTCCTGATATTTTTACTACAGAATGAGGAACACTAATTTATTGTGTTTATTGGGCTTTCCCCACATACGGCCAGCATTTCTTTTATACATTGATTAAGGTATTCATTCTCTTGCCTCTACAAAAGCTCAGTTTCTAATTTGTACCATACAGTATTTCTTATGATGATTATAGAAGGATATGGAGGGTGATTTGGCTTTCTTCCTCTGCCGTTAGTACCATGAGATGGATATTTGACCACTCTTGCCCCTCCGATGGTTTACACCATTGGATTTTGGACTATGCAGTCTCATCTTGGATGTTAGTATTTTTAGGACTTCTCTGATCAACATTAACCTTTTAATTCCTTTGTAAATATGAAAATGGAGATTGTGAAACGGTTACTGGTGATTCCATATATAATTTAGTATTCATCTCAAATATGTTTATTTAGAGATCCATTTTGTACTCATGTCCCTGAAGAAGATCAAAAAGTGGAATGATCGGATTTATTTTGGGAATGTTGTATTATTGCTTCTCAAAGGGAGTACATCCCTTGAATAGTTATCAGAGCCAGTGTGTTTTTAAATTAAATGTATCTTTTATCAATATTTTTGTATAATAAAGTGCATGACTAGAAAGAGTTCCTTATGAGTACATGTGTGATGATATGTTTGCTGCATTAAAGTCTCGTAGGGGGTAATTTTTTTGTTTGTAGGGATATTTTTTTATAATCTAAACCTGGTTTACACTTCTCCACAACTTTATCCTCAACCTGTCTTGTGTGTTCCTTGGCCTTTGTGATGCTGTTTTTCGCTAATGTTCTCTAACAAACCTCTGAGGGCTTCACAGAACAATTTAATTTATACTGAGATTAAATTAGACACAGGTGGACTTTATTTACTAATTAGGTGAGTTTTGAAGGCAATGGGTCCCATTAGATTTTAGTTAGGGGTATCAGAGTAAAAGGGGCTGAATACAAATGCACATAACACTTTTCAGATATGTATTTGTAAAAAATGTTGAAAACCATTTATCATTTTCCTTCCACTTCACAATTTTGTGCCATTTGGTGTTGGTCTATCACATAAAATCCCAATAAAATAAATTTACGGTTTTGGTTGTAACATGCCAAAATATGGAAATTGTCAAGGGGTGTGAATACTTTTTCAAGGCACTGCATTTGTTTCATTGTTTACATTGTAGAATGGGGTGCCTTGAGATTTTAAAGAATTGTAAAGGGTGCATCAACCTAAAAAGGCTGAGAAACACTGGTGTAGGGGACACTTTTCCACTGGCCACCAAAGTAAAGAGGCACTTTTCCATTGACCACCAATGCCAGGGGGTACTTCACCAGTGAAAACCAAGATAAGAGAACATTTCACCACTGACAGCCAATGTAAGGGGGTACCTTTCCCACTGACTACCAAGGTAAGGTGGGTCTTTCTCCACTGACATAAGGGGGTGTTTCTCCACTGTGCACCCATGTAAGAGAGCACTTCTCCACTAGCAGCCAATATAAGGAAACATTTCTCACTTGACCCCCTAATTTAAAGGGACACTTCAACACTGATCACTAATGTAAGGGGAACATCTTCATTAACCAACATAAGGAGACCCTTCACCACTGACCACTAACATAAGGGGACGGTTCTTCACTAACAATCAATGTTAGAGAGCATTTTCTTCTTTTCTTGTCATTGAGACAGGGGATTCAAAAACTCATCTCTTGAATTCCGGAGCCTGGTCTGGAAGTGCAAAACAGCCCAGTGCT